TATATATTTGTTAGTGCATTAATTTATGTTATTTTGAGCTTTTAGGCTAAAGTTTGATTTTTATAAGTTTAGACATTATGCTAATAAAAATATTGGAAATTAAATAACTACTTTCTCTTAGTAGGTTCTTGGTCAGATTGGCAACAAGCAAGAAAAGAATTAAAAAGAATGCATGGGGTGCAACTTCCACAAGCCAAGAAGAATTATAAATGAAGAATGTGGTTACAGCACAATAAAAGCCAATTGAATTGATTACATATGTTGATGTGTATTCCACTAACACACAAACTTGAAATGGAATTAAAAGGATTAGGAATGAACAATAGAGAACTAAGTAGACTTTAAACATTATAAATAAATAAAAAAAGTAGGAAAATCAAATAGAATCAACCAACCTTCCCGGATCCCCGGCAACGGCGCCAAAAACTTGTTGCTTCGGTTCAGCTGCACCAAAATGGATTCAGCTGCATCCTCAACTTGTGATACTCGCAAGTGCACGAGCCGTTTGGTAGTTTAGCGTATGTAAGTGCGAGGTCGATCCCACGAGGATTGGTGATTAAATGATCCCATTCATTTCTCCTACACAAAACAGAAATGAAAAAAAATCGTCTTGCACCAAGGTATATTGGAATCACTCCAAGAGAAATTTGAAAAGTTATGGCGTCTTGCTCAATGCTTCCGTATTCTTGCTTGTCTCTTCAATGGTGTATCATATTTAAGAAGAATTTGGAAATGGCTGATCATATGTTCATTGCCTGGGGTCTATAATTGAATTTGTGGAGGGAGATGGGCATTAGCTGGGTAATTCCAAGGGACTGCTTTTCTCTTCTTAGCCAAACACATAAATTGTTATGGACGTAAGAAGGCCAAAGTTATGTGGGGCTGCATGATCATGGTTGCGTTATGGGTGGTATCAATAGAGAGAAACAGAAGGATTCTGAAGATTATGCAGGAGCATGCTTTTAGGAGTTATGAGGCAGAATTCATTTTTGGTATGCAGTCTTATGTTTTCTCTAAGTTGGGTATTTTAGGAATAATGGTGGGTGGAAAGATAAGATTGTGTTTTTTCAAATTTAAATGGTGGGTGAAAAGATAAAGTGGGTGGAGAAATAGAACAGGAGGTAGAAATAGTAGCACTCCTAAAATAACATTGTTCCTCTTTATGAAGTACTTCTTAATCAAAATGTTTAATAAGCCAAAAAACTGTAGCCCCCTCTCCCCCAAAAACACTCCTACCGCATTTTTCACTTTTATGGATGAGGAAACCACTGTTCTTCTACCCCTCTCCCCTCATATTTTTGGTTGAATTATGAATGCAATTCCAGAATTTATCAAAATAAAAATAATAAAAATAATAAGTTGGATGAACTCATCATTTAGACTCCCATTGTAGTATATTTCACACTCCACTCTTTAACTAAAATATAAATAAATGTATCACATAAAATAATTAAAAAGGGAGCTCACTATCTTGCTCCCATAATAACTCAATATCTCGCAGTAAAGAAACTACTGGAGTGCATAAGTGAGAATCGAACCTGCAAACTAACTCCATGGGGCGCACAATTGTGTAAGTTTTATTTAAGCAACATCTCTTGTGGGTCCATTCTGCATTGTATTTCAATCATCCAAACTACCCATCTTTTATATATTCCATAAAAGATTATCTTTGAAAAAAAATCACTTGAATCCAAAACCAGTTGACCACTCAATTAATAGTTGTCATTTTAGTGTTTTCTTGAAACAATGCGTTCATCTAATTTTTTATCGCAATGATTTTCAATTTGATGGTTCCGACCTTTAAAATTAAATTCTTGGTGTATCCCTTAATAGAAGAGGACTTTACACATAAAAAAAAAAATTTAGGAGCCGTTCCAGGGTCGGCCACGGCCAATAATGATTTACACCGTACTCAAAACTAGGCGTGGGCACGGTCCGGTTTGGACCGGTTTTTGTTAAAAAATGGAACCTGAACCGAAAATGCAAACCGGTTCGGTTTGGACCGGTTTTGCTTAAAATCCATACCAAAATCCGAACCAACCCGGACCTACCGATTTCCGATTCGGTTTCCGGTTCTCACGGTTTGGGCTTGCTGTAAAGCCCAGTTTAGTTTTTTTGTGTATTTAAGCTTCAAGACCATCCGATTTTTAAAAAATTTGGGCCTTAAACATCAAAATTGGCCCAATTCCCATATTGAAACAACCACTATTCTTTGACAAAAATAATAAAACAATCCAATATTAAATTTAAAATTACAACGAACAAGAAAATACACATAATAAAACAAATTAAATTACAGTCAAATTTAAAATTATAACTCCATTCTTTTGTTCTTTTGTTGCCGCATCTCATAACATCGAGTACACCAAGTGAACCTAGCAGATCCATGTATTGCCATCAATAACCTGAATTTGTAGAAAATAAAAACAAAAGTCCGGAAACCTAGAAGTGAAAATGGATCAAGAAATGCAACAACAAACAAAAGAAAAATATCATAAAATTAGACCATTTTCTGAACCCTAAACCCTACAAGCATGAGCAGCATAAAAACTGTGAACTCTCTTTTAAGTTTTAATCATAAGATGACATCATGTGACTAACTAACTTTGTACAGTGTTCACCTGTATCGACTAGAACAAATTAGAGATTCATTTCCATGAGAACAAGGTCAGTGAATGTGAAGTTGGTCTGTAGCAAATCCATCAACTCGTACTCTTCCTAGTTTTCGAATTACATAAGTCATAGACTACTTACTATTTGCGGTAATTGGTAATTGGTGACATAGAAAGGCGAAGACACAGACATTGAATCTTATCAATCCAAAAATGCACACACAGACAGAGGCTGATCCTTATATATATGAGAAAAAGCAAACAAATTGAATTTTTGTTCCTACCAAGAATCTCAGTTGAACAGATCACTACAGCAAGCAAGTGGTGGCAATCAAGCACGATATTTCAAACCCAAGAACAACGAAAATGTATTCATCCCAACGAATTTGCAGAGAGGAGGGGAAAATAAAATTAAAGAAAACCAAGAACACAATCGCTATGATCTCAACTCTCACACTGTTTTTTTTTCTGTGAATATAGCCAAATAGATGCACACACAATCAAAACTTAAATACCTAAACAGATGCAAAACCACATAATCAAATAGGAGATGTGAGATAGAGACAGAGAGACAGATAGACAGAGAGACAGAGAGGAACAGTACCTGAGAGAGAGA